CTACAGCTATATTCTGAATTTCTTAACGAATTTGCGGAGTTCATCTCAAGCCTGGCTGTTTCTGTAAACAAAGCATTAATTTTTGGAGATGTTAATATTTATTTTGATAATCCGGAAGACCCTCTGAGAACAGCATTTGTGTCCATTCTAGATTCAGTAGGGGTTAATCAGAATGTAATAGCACCCACCCATAGTGGTGGTCACACTCTTGATTTAATACTAACATTCGGATTAAATATAGAAAATATAGTTGCACAACCCCAGCCTGAAACTCTCTCAGATCATTTTCTCATCTCATTTAAAATGCGTCAGTAATAATATATGCACTTATCTACGCTATCACATCAAAAGTACATTCAAGTCATCTACTGCACAGAGTTTTATCAACAATCTTCTCGAGTTATCAACCTTGATTCAATCACCATCTGACCCCACAGAACTTAATCAGGCAACTGAATTTTTAAAGTCAGTGTTCCGCTACACTCTAGATAATGTAGCCTCACAAGACCACCACAGACACATACATGCTAGGCAAAAAATTCAGACAATTAAATTAAAGCCAGACAATTTGATAACGTTCACAGCATTTGGCAGATGCCCTTATCCAGAGCGACTTACAATTATCTCGTTTATACAACTGAGCAGTTGAGGGCCTTACTCAAGGCCCCAGCAGTGGCAGCTTGGCGGTGCTGGGGATTGAACTCATGGCCTTTTGATCAGTAGCCCAACATCTTAACCACTGAGCTACCACTGCCCTACCAATAACTAGCCATGTAGACGAAAATATAACCACATCAGATCAGTGATTAAAATGCTTTACTCCACTTCAAGAGACCAAACTAATTTCACGAATTTCCTCATCAAAATCATCAACTTGTGTACTAGATTCCTTACCTACATGTTTCTTCAGATACTACCAGAAGCAACTGAACCTTTTGTACAAATAATCAATTCTCCTCTTAGCATTGGCTATGTACCTAATTCCTTGAAACTAGCAATTATCAAACCCCTGATTTAAAAAAACCTGACCTCGACTCCTGTCAGCTGTCTAACTATATCAATATCAAACCTCCCCTTTATCTCCAAGATTGGCGTCCCTGGAGGACTAGTGGTTAGTGCTCTCACCACTGTGGCCTGGGTTTGCTTCCTGGCCAGGAAACCAGCCCCAGCCACTGGGGTTGCGTGCAACAGTGTGATCTCAGTGCCCGTGCCAAGCCCAGATAAAACTGGGGAGGGTTGCATCAGGAAGGGCATCTGGTGTAAAAACTGTGCCAAATCAAATACACAGACCAATGATCCACTGTGGTGACCCCCTAACAGAAACAGCAGAAAGAGGAATGTCATCTTTATGTTCAAGATTGTAGAAAAGGTTGTAGCACAGCAGTTCTGTTCATACTTACATAGAAATAAAATTTATGAAATGTACCAGTCAGGACTTAGGCCCCACCATAGCACAGAGACAGCGCTGGTTAAAGTGGTAAATGACCTGCTACTGGTCTCTGATCAGGGTTTTATATGTATATAGTAAAGTAAAGTTTGGTGTTCCACAAGGCTCTTTTAGTCCCACTGCTTTTTTCTCTTTATATGCCTGTTGCTTTTGTTACCTCTACATTGGCTCTCAATCAAATTTCATATTGATTGTAAAATACTACTTTTTAACTATATATCACTAAATGGTCTCGTGCCACAGTACCTGAGCAAACTTTTGTTCTTTTATGATCCGCCACGCCTACTTCAATCAAAAGGTGCAGGCTGTTTGTTGGTACTTCGAATAGTGCGGGCTACAGCTGGGGGTAGAGCTTTCTCTTTCAAAATCCCACAGTTATGGAACAGCCTTCCACTTAGTGTTTGGGGCTCAGACACAGTCTCAGTGTTTAAGTCTCGGCTAAAAACATATTTGTTTATTTTTTTTCCCAATGCTTATTCATGGGTGGTTAACATAACACACATGCAGCAGAGCACTGGTGTTCATAAAATATCAACGTCATTATTACAAGTTTATATTTAACCACCACAAAGATCAAATGAACGCAACCCTTTGTTTTAATTACATGTAATTGACTCCCAGCAATTATGGGAAGAGAAAAAATAACATTAACCAGAGAGTATCAGGCATTTTCTTATTTGTGTTTAAAAGTCAGAGTCTGAGAACATATTGAGGTGACAGCCTGTGTAGTACTGGAGGTTTACTTCAGGTGGAAAAAAGCAGGCTTTATTAGATAAAATATCATTTTAAAATTTTATTATAAAATTTATAATTTGAGTAGCATCTAAATGTAATCATTTTGCCCCTACTACTGTCTGGTATCCACCAAAAATGCATGAGCATGTCACATGCATCAATATTGCAATGATTTTATTTAGAATATTTTTCCTCATCCCCTCTGAAACAGCCCAGTAGGCCAGGACATTCCACAAGGCAGTGCTTTATGAAAGAGTGGCAAAAAGAAAGTATTCACTGAAAAAAGCCATACCATGTAGAAATAGATAATCTGGACCATAGCCACAAAGTAGAATTTTGACTAAACACTGCTTATCACCCTGAGAACCCCTCTGTGAACCATTGTAGTGTCAGCATCATGTTGTAAGAATGCTTTTCATCAGCATGGAAACTGGCGAGTGCAGCATGGATACAGCCATTTTATTTTAGCATACTGGATAATCCTAAAATAAATCCTGACCCAGTCTTACTCTCCAACAAAAGAACGACTTAAGGCACACTGCCATGTAATACATGAGTGTTTCAAAACGAAGAAACTGAATGTGTTAGAATGGCCCAGTCAAAGTTCAGCCATTGATCCAATTGAGAATCTGTGGCAAGACCTGAGATTTGCTCAGTTCACCAATGGTCTCCATCTATTCAAATGTGAAGCAATTTCAAGAATAGGCAAGGAAATCAGGATCCAGATGTGCAACGCTGATAAAGTAAAATTTTCCCACCAAATTTTGTTGTACACAAGTATAATAACAAAGATTTCTTATCTAGAGACACATGCTAGGGAACCTCCAGCTGTAATTGTACCCAAAGCTGGTATTGAACCATGGAGGTGATGCAACCAAGAAACGTGCACTTTTGTGTTTGTTTAATGTTTATGTCAAATAAAATATTTAGCATTTTCTCATCTAAGCCATGTTGTGGAAATGAAATGGTAAAATTCCATTTTAAATTCAGACTGTAACGCTTCAAAATATAGAACAGTCCAAGGGTGGTACAATGCAGGGTGAAATGGTGCAGGTCTGGAGGGTTCACAGGCATTGAGTGTTGTGGTGAACTGGGATGTTTGGGTGCTGTCGCCCCCCCACTCTCACACGTTCACTCAGGTTTGTCGACGGTGGAGTGGCTGCTGCCTTATGTCCCAGGGTGCCCTCATGTCTGTGTTAGCTTCTGGCTCTCCCTTTTAGTTATGCTGTCATAGCTAGTCTTGCCGGAGTCCCTGCTTGCACTCTGCATGCAAAGTATATTGTGCTTAACCATTAGAGGACAAAGCTTATCTAACATTCTCTTCCTCTCTCTCCATCTCTTTCTCTCCCTCACTCTCGGT